CAATAAAATTTGAAAACAAAGGAAATTAAAACTGATAAAATCTTCTAGATAGAATTACTAGCATGGATTCGAACAACAATGGATCCGAGGCTGAATACGTAGATAGCACATTACTAGCATGGCTGAAATGTTGAAAGATGGTTTGTAATTTGAATTCATCTATACGGCTGTACCTTTGTTCTTATTCCTTTCGTTTCATCTAATCCTGCCTCTTTTGCACTATTATTTGGGCCTATTATTTCGTTGCAAAAATTGAAGTTAGTATTCTAGATATTTTTTTGAAAAATATGAAATTAGTGTGTATATACACGTAAACGTTTTTTTAGTATCTCTATATTATTATTTAAGTAGACATTTTTATAAATGAACCTTTATTTATAAGATATTATAAAATATTTTACATAAATAAATATTTATTTATAAGTTACATAAATAAACTTTATAAATATAGAAAGTTCAATTAATATTCATCTATAAGAGATAGTTAAATATAAAGCTCACAGATTTGTTTTAAATATAAATGGATATAAATCAAAAATGTATTTAGTTTTTTTTTTATTTATTAAAATATTAAAATATATTTTATTATATCAAATAAAAATCAATCTATATATATATGAAAAAATCTGTTTAAACTTTTGCAATATTTTCCATTTGTATTCATAACTAATTAGTATCATTTTAAAAATCAATTCAATTATTTTTATAAAAATAACTGAAATATATTTTTAAAATATAAAATTATATTTTTTATAGGTTGGTCGAAAAAATAGTTTAGTAAATTGTAAAATATATTAAGTAGGCGGATTTGTCCACTTTAATAATCCTATATATAATCATTATTAGCACATATTATAAAATTCATTAAGTAAAAATAATAGTTTGATCTCTAATAAAATATTCACAATTAAATTCTTATTTTATGAAATATATATATATATATATATGTATATTCTAATAAATGTTAGTAAATATATAAATATATATATATATATTAATTAACATCATATTACTTTCACATTTAAAAACTATTAATAATTAAACCGCATAACAAAACTATCCCAAAATTTTATTCGATGAATATATACAAGTAAATATTGGTTGTGTAGTATTTATATATGTATTGTTATCTAATTGTCATCAATTTTATTTATTTATATTTTTGTCAAATAATTTTTGTTACCAATTTTAATTTAACCAAAAAAATAATTGAAAATTTAAAAACAATTAAAAAAACATTACTCCATTGTGGGTTAATATCTAGTGTGTATATATACGTACACGTAACTATTTCTCTAATAGTACAATAATATAATTGGATTGAGTTCGGTGAATATTACGTTGAATTTGGCAGGAGGAGTATTAAGACATTTCTGTTCAGTCGTTTTCGTTGTCGGGACGAAATGACCCAAAACAATGATGTGTCTAATATTAATTTTCAGAGTCGTCCGGTTTCAAAGTTCAATTATTTTCTTGTCAATTATTCTGCACGTGTGTTTATGTTTAACACATGTGTGTTTAATGTACTTGTTCATGTGATTTCTATCTCGCAATGAGAGTAACATTTATCGATAATTATGTATCTATTCTATTAAAACAGAAGCAATTTTAGTACCTGTTTTCAAATACATTAAAAAATTTTTTATAACATTTTATTTATATTATAATTAATTTCGAAAATTGGTTACTAATTTAGATATTGTTAGATTTCCTTAAATATAGATTATATTTAATTTAAATTTAAAATTCAATAAAATTATTAATAAATTGTATTACAAAATTAGATAATAATTTTAATTACTTTAGAATTCCTTAAATACAGGATATATTTAATTTAAAATTATGAATTTAAATAATATTTTTTTAATAGTACAAATGGTAAACAAATATTTTATTATATTGTTTATCATAATCAAATTTAATATTGGTAAATATTTATATTTTACAATAATATGATAAAGCAAGTTAAAATTATACATTTATAATAACAATCTTATACAGGTTAGTTTATCAAAACATATAAGATATTAAAAAATAATTTGAGATACCTAAACAGACGGGTTAGCTAATTCATAGATGTATAGATTGTTTATGTGTAAATCTAAATTTACATAATAATAAAGTTCATAATTAGCATTATAGATCAATATATACTTAATTAACTCATATTCTTGTTCTACTAATATATAAATTTATATTATTCAAATTTAAAACATAATAACAAAAATTTTGAATTAAAAAAATAAAAACAATAAATTATATTAAAAAAATTATATTAAAAATAAAAAATGAAAAATTTTCGTGCGGACGCACAGGTTAGAATCTAGTTTAGAATTGAAATTCATGTTGTTGTCAGAGTATTTTTTAAGTTCATGTTATCATGGCGAATGTAGGAGTATTTTTGAAGAGTGATTTTTAAAATTACTATATAGACAGTGTTTTCAAATTAAGTTTTTTTGATATTTTTCTTACGAATTAATTATTATTTTTAAATATTCTACTCTTACAAAATAATATTGATTCTTGGAATTATATATTATACTACAATATATTATTTTTATTTTTATTTTATCATACCAAAAAAATATATTATTTTTATTTTTTATGAATTTTTGATAGAAAGCAGATGATATATTTATTTATATCAAAAGTTATATTGAAATCATAAAATGGATTTATTTAAAAGCAATAATATTAATCTAAAATGACATGTATTTTATAACTGATAAATTAGTAAGTTACAAATCACTTATTTGTGACTAAATTTAGTGCTTAAATCCATTTTATAGTTACATGCCACGTTAATGAATTAAATTGTTCTATACTTTCATTGTAAAGAAACTTGAAAAGTTTATTTTTAACAAATTGGACAAGCTGCATTCTCAAATATTCTTATTTTTTATTAAAGAAATTTACAATATAATCAGTGCTTTCATCCTATTTATTAGAAATTATGAAGTTTTTAAGATCTATTATTTTTTTTTGTTAAGAAGATTAAGATCTATTCTCACTTGATACAGGTGCTGTCAAAACACTAACATATAGCTATATACTTTCATACTTTGTAGACGAAAAAAGAAAAAGAAAAAAATTGAGGGGGAATAATTTTAAAGTTAAGTTGAACGAAACGTCACATGGGACACACAGACTCGTAGCTTTAGCTTTGTTCAAAACGCAATTAATATGTTCCTTCTTCTAACATCTTTCTGCCACTTTTTCTTTCACTTCTTCTTTCCTCTCTTTTTATTTTTATTTTCTGAATAAATCCATTAAATATCTTCCTTAGTTTACATAGATTTTGTTTTTTGTCAACAGTCTTTGATCCTCATGTCTCAAACAATTCTTTTTAGACTCTAATAACATATTTAATACACCTATCCTAATATATATTTGTTTTTTTTTTTGAACATTACCTAATATATATTTGTTAAAGGTGATTTCCTTTACAGTTACCATTTGAACGATTCACACGAGATCCCTTAATTTGATGAATGAGGTAAGAATGTCACTCAGTTAGTCCTATATTTTTATCCAATACGCATGTGCTCTTTGATAATGATAACTATATGATCAATATAGATTACTTTAATGTTAAATTTTAGTATTACTTTTATAAAATAGGAAATTTATCTCAAGATGCGATATAATATCTGTTTCATTGAAAAAAATATAGAAAAATGTAACACATAATCATATTGCTTAATTTTACAGAAATTTAATTATAGAAATTGTCCAGCACATCTTATAGACATATATTGAATAATTGGCAGTACAAAGTTTTCTTAATTTCTCTATTAAAACTCAGTTGTAGTCTTTTAAGTTTTAAATCCAATATCATTTAATAAAGTATAAATTTATAATTTAGCATTGGAGCAATATAAACTTGAATATTGATGAGCCAGTTTTGCGACAATTGGGCCTAACCATTCGTTTCGTAGTTCCCTGATATTATTAGTTCTGGCGGACCGGCCTTAATTTCAGAAAGAATCACACCATATATAAGTATTTAACTACCAAATGTGGGCATAAGTATTTTGAAACCGGTTCGATTCGTTTGTAGTCGGAGTGCATGTTGAATTGAATAATTGCTCAAGTATCAAAACTTATATACGTAGCTTTCGATCCTAGAAAACAGGCTCAGAAAAAAACCCAACTTGGCCCAATAGCTTGTAACTTATTTTTGAAAAGTTATCATGCTTTCAAAACTGAAAAATGTTTTTCCGTCATGCTTTCAAAACTGAAAAATGATTTTCAGTCAACAATAAGAAAACTACACACGTATCTGCAAATTTACAAACATATTAACACAATTCTTTGTTGGTGTCATATATTTTAGACAAAAATTAATTATTTTATTAGACACATAACTCTGGAGTTCTTTCAAAGACACTTAACAAGAAAATATAAGTGTACTTTAATGACATAGATAGTCAAATGTAAAGATTTTTGTGTGATCTTTATAAGTCCCAGTTATGATCTAGATTCAAATTTAGGTTGATCTTCTACTTAGTTTGTTTGCGGAATTTATGAACTAAGAGACACACGGATTTGTTGACCCAGTTCCCGTTAGGTACGTCTGGGAGTGGAACGAAACCACTATGCTTTCACTATGATTGGAATAACACAAGTAATCTGACCAACTCGTAATATCAATCACAGCTCTAACCAGCACGACAAGAGTAAGACTTTATACCAAGCTTTACTTGAACCAAACCTCCTTTGGTTCACGCAAAAGAAGACCCGAAGCTTCACCACCCAGGTATTCTCTCTTTGCTCTGTTTCTTCTCTCTGTAGTCAGCTGCTTGTTTCGTTAGGAGGGTTGGAGAAGTTGACCTAGGACGTTGACTATTTATACAGCTAACTTGGGCATGCTAACTTTCCTTGTAGAGCCCAGTGTGAGCCCAGCTTCCTCTCCAGCCCAAGAACTAAAGAATTGACAATATCCTTTCATTCTCCACCTTTGTCGTTCTTTTGTCTGAACCACAAAAACCTAGCCTCCACCGAACACACCGTTCTCTTTGTCTTCACCAGCTACACCGCTGTACGACTCAACCGAATCAATCTCAACCTCCGCTTCGGCGCTGCTTCCTTTACCGGTGTTCACGCTTCCACTTCGACCGGTCTGAAATCGACTTCGATTTCCAAACAGGTAAGTCACTCTTTCGATTCTTCTTCACCGATGAATCTGATTGACTTTAGTCCCCCTTTTTTAAATCTGAGCTTCCAAAAACTCTGATTAACCTCCCATCTTTCTTCTTTGCTGTATGTGAGCATCTCCCTGAAGAAATATGAGAACACAACATACTATCATGTCGCATCGGGTAAGATTCTTATTACCAGAACCGCATTTCTTCTTTTTCAAATTCTTTTACCAGAATAGTCATAAGAGAATCCCTCGTTGGTTGCCTTTTGAGAAACTAACACTGTTTCCCTTTTGTGTTTCCGCGAGATGATCCAACCAACACGACCACCTCACGGCGCACCTCTGCTCGATCAAGTGGTGACCTGTAGACGATCGAGACACCTCTCAAACGCCTTGCCAGGTAAACACTTAGTGAGCATATCTGCTGGATTTGCTGTAGTATGAATCTTCTGAACATGAACCAATCCTTCATCTATGATATCTCTGATGAAATGAATCTTAGTAGCTACATGCTTAGTCCTGTCATGATGTACTGCATTTTTAGCTAAGCAAATAACACTTTGAGAATCACAGTTCATTGTAAAAGACTCAAAATCGAATCCTAGCTCATTGCAGAATTCTCTTAACCACAAACCCTCCTTAGTAGCCTCTGATAAAGCCATGTACTCTGCCTCTGTGGTGGATAATGCCACTACATGTTGCAGTGTAGCTCTCCAACTAACAGTATTTCCACCTACTTGAAAAACATACCCTGTCACTGACCTCCTTTTATCTAAATCAGTGGCATAATCCGAGTCGCTAAAGCCTTCTATTTTAAAAGCTTCTGACTTAGTAAACGTTAGTCCAACATCAACTGCACCCTGAAGATATCTTAAAGCCCATTTAACTGCTGCCCAATGATCCCTTCCCGGTTTAGCCATGAATCTGCTGACTAAGCAAATGGCGAATCCTAAATCCGGCCTTGAGCCTATCATTGCATACATCAAACTCCCCACTGCACTAGCATAGGGAACTGACTCCATTAATGTGGCTTCTGTTTTCCATTCTTCTTGAGTCAGGCTTCTTAGCTTAAACTGAGAATTCACCGGAGTCACTACTGCCTTACAGTTTTCCATGTTGAAAGTCCTCAGTACTTGTTTCAAATACCTTCCCTGTGTCAGTTTTAATGTTCCCTTGCTTCTACTCGGAATTATATCCATCCCAAGTATCCTGTTAGCTGGTCCCAGATCCTTCATTTCGAATTCTTTGCTTAAGCTTTCCTTCAAAATTTTGATCTTCTTTAAATCCTTGGCTGCTATCAGCATATCGTCCACATAGAGTAGCAAGTAAATGCTGTTCTCTATACCTGATCCCTTGTAATAAACACATGGATCCTTAACACACCTTCTGAACCCTTGAGACTTGATGAACACATTAAACCTATGGTTCCATTGCCTCGGCGACTGTTTCAGTCCATAGAGCGATCGTTTTAATAAACAAACCTTGTTCTCTTGACCTTTCTGGACAAATCCCTCTGGTTGCTCCATGTAGATAACTTCATCTAGTTTCCCATTCAAAAACGCAGTCTTAACATCTAGCTGTTCTAGCTCCATGTCGAAATTGACCACTACGGACAGCATAATCCGAATTGAGACATGTTTGACTACTGGTGAGAATATCTCATTATAGTCAATCCCTTCCACCTGAGTAAAACCTTTAGCTACAAGTCTGGCCTTGTATCTAGGTGGTTCTACGCCTGGAATTCCCTCTTTTAACTTGAAAATCCACTTACATCCGACGATCTTCTTGTTAGGAGGTCTGTCAACAATGTCACATGTCTGATTTTTGTCCAATGAATGCTTCTCTTCTATCATGGCCCCATTCCATTTTTTCCAGTCCTTGCTCTTTCTTGCTTCTGAAACTGTCCTAGGTTCGTTCAGTTGCATGTCTTCAGCGCATGACAGAGCATAAGCAACAAAGTCACCACTTTCGAACATTGCTGGTGGCCTTATGTTTCTTCTAGGTCTGTCTCTGGCTAACATGTACCCATCAAGGTTATCACCTGCTTCACCACTTTCTCGTTCAGTACCAGACTTATTTTCATCCTCTGAATCTGACACAGTTTCTGACTCTGTCAAATCAGCTTCTTCATCAACAGTTCCACCTTGACCGCTAGACACTGTTAACCTTGAACCGTTTGCGTCGTTGTCATTCGGAGGACGTGAGTTCCTTGTAGATCCCATAACCACCGTTGAACTAATCGAATTTTCCACAGTCTCTCTTGACTTTGGATTTTCCTTTGGCTCCTTTTCCTTGTACAATCTTTCTTCGTCAAAGATAACGTTTCTGCTGATTGTCACTTTTTCTTCATCACTTAACCAAATCCTGTACCCTTTAGTTCCTTCAGGATATCCTAAGAAGATACCCTTAAGTGCCCGAGGGCTGATCTTGTCTTGAACAATGTGGACATAAGCAACACAGCCAAATCTTCTTAAGTGATTGTACTCAACCTTTCTTCCTGTCCAAATCTCCTCTGGTATCTTGAACTTCAATGAAGCATTTGGAGTTCTGTTAATCAAGTAAACCGCAGTAGCTGCTGCAGTTGCCCAAAATCTCTTTTCCAACCCAGTTTCTGCCAGCATACATCTTATCTTGTCAGCGATAGTTCTGTTCATTCTCTCTGCGACCCCATTTTGCTGCGGTGTGTATGTACAAGTCCTGTGCCTTTTAATTCCACAGTCTTTGCACAGCTTGTCCATCTGCTTGTTGCAGAATTCCAGACCGTTATCTGTCCTTAGACATTTAATCCTTTTTCTTGTCTGATTCTCAACAAGCACCTTCCACTCAGAAAAATTTTCGAACACTTCATCTTTACCCTTGAGAAATCTGATCCAGACTTTTCTTGAGTAATCATCGATGAGTGTTAGAAAGTATTTGCAGCCCGATAAGCTTTCAGCATTTGCAGCTGAGCCCCATAGGTCACTGTGAACATACTCTAAAATCTCTGACGATGTATGTTTACCAGCAGGAAAGCTTAGCTTGTGGGATTTCCCTAAGACACATTCTTCGCAGAAATCCAATGTGTGAACCTCCTTTGAACTAAGATATCCTTCTTTGACCAGAAGATTCATGTTCTTTAAACTCATGTGTCCCAGTCTTGAATGCCAACGGTTGGTAAGATTTATTTCAGCTCTTGCTACTGACACTTCTCCCTCCACAACCGAACCCTCCAGATAGTACAAGCCATCTTTGAAGTTCCCTGAGATCACCTTTTTCCCTTGCTTGAAAAACGTCACACTGAAATCCTTTCCCTCATAACTGCAACCGTTCTTCTCTAGCTGACCATATGATATCAGGTTTCTACCCATAGTAGGCATGTATCTAACCTCTGTTAATACCACAGTTGTGCCATCAGGATTAACAATTTTCAAATTTCCCATTCCCTTGACTTCACTATAAGTGTTGTTTCCCATTAACACTTTTCCACCTTCAAGCTCCTTAAAATCAAACAATAGACTCCGGTCAGGTGTAATATGAAACGTGCATCCCGAATCCATGACCCACTGATCCTTTGAGTATTTTAAGCTTGCTGTCAGTATCATGGGTTCTTCCTCATGAGCCATGTTTGCAGAACTTGAAGCTTTCTTTTGTGGGCAATCTTTCTTGTAATGGCCTTCTTTACCGCAGACCCAGCATTCTCTCACCTTGGGTTGTCCTCCCTGAGAGTTTTTCTTAGATTTCCCAATTTTTCCATTAACCGATTTCCCCTTTCCTTTGCCTTCTTCAGACTTCTTACCAGCCTTCCCGTGACCGACATACAATCCCTCTGCGCCACTGCTTGGTTTATTTAATAACCCCAGTTCTCTCAACTCTACCTCTTTAGCATGAGCAGACTGTACTACTTCAGCAAGTGTCAGCATTTCTTTTCCTCTGTTCCCATACTTCAATGTATGAACAAGTGAAGCATAATGATCTGGTAGTGCTGACAGCACCTGAACCGCCTGATCTTCGTCACTCACCTCAATGTTAAGACTTTGTAGCTCATCGACCAACCGTAAAAACACGTCCATATTTTCATCAATAGACTTGTTCTTATCCATCTTGAAGCTAGCAAATCTTTGTTTGAGGTAAACCCTATTTGGTAGAATCTTGGTCTGGTAGTCAGCTTCTAAAGCTCGCCAAACCCCTGCAGCTGTGGTTTCTTTCATTACCTTACGCAGTACCATGGTTGTGAGACTTGAACAGATCAAGTTTCTTATTCTCACATCCCTGTCATGTATTTGTTCCGCAGTCAATGGCTTGGTTTCAGAAGCTGATTCATCGACTTCCTTTCCTTTAACTGGTGTTGGGCTCTCACCTGTGAGTTCTTTGATTTGTTTACCAAATCCCTGGAGCTCTAGTTGCATAAGCATTCTGAACTTCCACATGTTAAAATCGCCTTTCCCATCAAACTTCTCCATCTCAAATTTCTCAAATTTCTGTATTGCTTCCATCGTAGCTCAGCAGATGCAAGAGAAACCTTTCCGAGATAGATAAGAATCTTCCAACAGTCAGTCAAATAATTTCTGTCACCCAACCTTGTCCTAGAACCTTTGACACCTGATCACAACGCACCTGATTACTCGACCGTAATCTACCTTGCGTCTGAGTCCTGACGCTCTGATACCACTTGTAAAGATTTTTGTGTGATCTTTATAAGTCCCAGTTATGATCTAGATTCAAATTTAGGTTGATCTTCTACTTAGTTTGTTTGCAGAATTTATGAACTAAGAGACACACGGATTTGTTGATCCAGTTCCCGTTAGGTATGTCTGGGAGTGGAACGAAACCACTATGCTTTCACTATGATTGGAATAACACAAGTAATCTGACCAACTCGTAATATCAATCACAGCTCTAACCAGCACGACAAGAGTAAGACTTTATACCAAGCTTTACCTGAACCAAACCTCCTTTGGTTCACGCAAAAGAAGACCCGAAGCTTCACCACCCAGGTATTCTCTCTTTGCTCTGTTTCTTCTCTCTGTAGTCAGCTGCTTGTTTCGTTAAGAGGGTTGGAGAAGTTGACCTAGGACGTTGACTATTTATACAGCTAACTTGGGCCTGCTAACTTTCCTTGTAGAGCCCAATGTGAGCCCAGCTTCCTCTCCAGCCCAAGAACTAAAGAATTGACAATATCCTTTCATCAAATCAATTCTTATAAACTTTTTAATATATACTAGAAATCAGAATGTTACAATAATTATATATTTTCGAATTTGAATTACAGTCATATAAGTCATATAAGTTAAGGATTTCAAAATATAATGATACGACGAGGAGCGCCGTAGCTTGTGGCCTTAGAGCATCTCAAGATGATTAGAGTATCACAATTGGGCTCTGTCATTTTTTAATTTAAAATTAATAAAGCTCTTTTTTGATGAACCTGTATCATTGCACTCAACTTATTGAACCTGTATGACTTCAGTATCATCTGCGAACTGTCGACATTGTATTTGTTGAAGTTGGAAGAAAAAAATTTCATCGAACATTTCTCTTTCACTGCAAAACTTTGTCAACAAAATTTCATTCTTTTTATATATATTATATTTCTAAAAAAATTATGTTATGCTATATAAATTTGGTTATATGTAATATAGTTTGTTTAAAATTATTTCAGAAAGAATCAAATATTAAATTTTTTTTTTAAATATATTTTTTTATTCTTATGAATCCTAAATAGAAGTTTAGGGTTAGAGGTAAAAAAATTGTTTGAGATCATCATTATTTTAAAAAAATTATTATTAAACAAATCTCTATAAACCCCAATGAGAAGTTGATGGTTGGAGATGCTATTAGATCGACAGGATTGGTTCAGATTTAAACACGTTACTATTGTGATATACACTTATCTTTGGTTATTTGAAGTTTCTTGTTTTTGCCCCATCCGTTTCTTGGTTAGAGAAATTAGCTTGACCCTTCACGCTTGTCTTATACTACTTTGGGACAAATAACTTATTTAAAAGATAATGTCACATGCACTGGTTTCTAAAATAGGTACAATAAAGCTAGATACCGAACAAAATAAAAGAAGACCAATAATTGCTAAAAAAACAAAAAGTGTGGTTTTATGTCATTTTATAAAACAGACACATCACAACATTAAATGACGAAAGGACATATACTTTATATTAATAAATACGTATCTTATATATATGTATTAGGGACGATATCAACAATTAAGCTGCTCCTTTGGTGTATCTCAGAAAGATATAAGCTTACTTGAAGTCTCAAATTTTTTACTTGCAATCTTCAATTTCTCTCTAATGGCTTTGCTAAGCTTACTTGAAGTCTCAGTTTCATTTCTTTGTTTCTCATTCCTCTTTGGATATTTCTTGATTAGCAAGAAACCTCACCGTTCGTTTCCTACCAAATGGCCGTTACTCGGCATGCTTCCAGGTCTACTCGTAGAGATCCCTCGTGTTTACGACTATATAACCGAGGTTCTCGAGGCCTCAAACTTAACATTTCCTTTCAAAGGCCCTTCTTTCGGGGGCCTCGACATGTTGATCACCGTTGATCCGGCTAATATTCATCACATCATGAGCTCAAACTTTGCAAATTACCCGAAAGGATCCGAGTTCAAGAAGATATTCGATGTTTTGGGAGATGGGATTTTCAACGCGGATTCTGATTTATGGAAGGATCTGAGGAAATCAGCTCAAAGCATGATGAGTCATCAGGAGTTTCAAAGGTTTACACTAAGAACAAGCATGAGTAAGCTAGAGAAAGGACTTGTCCCACTTCTTGATCACGTTGCTGAGAAGAAACTAGTCGTTGACTTACAAGATGTGTTCCAAAGATTCACATTCGACACTACGTTTGTTTTAGCGACGGGGATAGATCCAGGTTGTCTCTCCATTGAAATGCCGGAAATCGAGTTTGCTAGAGCTTTAGACGAAGCAGAGGAAGCGCTTTTCTTCAGGCATGTCAAGCCCGAGATGGTTTGGAAGATGCAAAGATTGATTGGATTTGGAGATGAGTTGAAGATGAAAAGAGCTCACTCTACTTTCGATCGAGTTTGCTCTAAGTGCATAGCTTCTAAGAGAGATGAAGTAAGCCGTGGCCTTATTAACATCGACTCTTCTTCTAAAGATTTGTTGATGTCTTACATGGATGTGGATACCACCAAGTACAAGTTGTTGAATCCGAGTGATGAAAAATTCCTCAGAGACATGATTTTAAGCTTCATGATAGCTGGTAGAGACACCACGGGCTCTGCTCTCACTTGGTTCTTCTGGCTTCTTTCAAAGAACCCACAAGCAACGGCCAAGATTCGTCAAGAAATCAACACAAAGCTATCTCCAAGAACCAATGATGGTTCTGAAATTGATTCATTCAATCACCAAGAGTTAAGCAAGTTGGTATATTTGCATGGCGCGTTGTATGAAGCCCTCAGGCTATATCCACCAGTTCCTTTTCAGCACAAGTCTCCAACAAAACCGGACGTTCTTCCAAGCGGACACAGAGTCGATGCGAGTTCGAAGATTGTGTTCTGTCTTTACTCATTAGGGAGAATGAAAACGGTTTGGGGAGAAGATGCAGCGGAATTTAAACCGGAGAGATGGATTTCAGAGAGTGGAAGGTCGATACATGTGCCATCTTTTAAGTTCTTATCATTTAACGCCGGTCCAAGGACTTGTTTAGGGAAAGATGTGGCTATGACGCAGATGAAGACAGTGGCCGTGAAAATCATACAAAACTATGAGATAAAGGTCGTTGAAGGGCACAAGATTGAGCCAGTTCCTTCTGTTATACTTCACATGAAGCAGGGTCTTAAAGTCATGGTCACTAAGAGATGTAATTTAGACTGAATGTTATGCAAAAATTTATAAATATAAGCTTGGAAATAATGATTAGAACTTGTGACAAAAGAAAAAAAAATAGAACTCGTGACAACTATTGTGACACGTTATCAGAAGAAGTATTGTGAGATATTCTGTTACAAAAAAAAAGTATTGTGAGATATTTTCTATGTTTTAGTTAATACGTAATACACGCTAATTTTGTTTTTATCATTTTCTAAATAGATTTTTTTTGTCAACATCAAATAAAACTATTCATAAAGCCTTATAAGTTTATGTCTTCTCATTTTCTTTCTTTTAAATATATCTACTGATCAACATATTTGATTTACTAAGGTTATTTTCTTATAACTTGTCTCAGACTCTGAAAATACCATGAATTTGAATTCAAAACATTGATTTTGACACGTTTCGACATTTCATAAGTTATAAAACTGTCACATACTCACATGGTTTTTGTGATATGCTTACAACTAATAAGTGTCTTTGGTACTATTTTTTTTTTCAATTTTTAGTTCTGCCAATTTTTATTATTTTTACGATAAAAGTTATCATTTTAAAAGTATGTTAATTGTCATTAGTTCAGTGCTTTATATATAGAGGATTTCATTGCTTCGTGTGTTTTAAATAATATCGATATCCAATCAAAATCTTGTTCATTGGATTATTGATGTAAGAATTATCGTCAATATCTTATATTATTAGTTTAACAATTTTTATATACTTGTTGAAATCTGGTGTCTTTAAATCAACACATCGACATTCGACAACAACAACAAGGAAATTTTTTTTTCTAAGATCTAATGGATCATTTTTTCTTAATAATTTTATCTTTTTTGGTCTTCTCCATCCTTTCACTAAAACGTTTGATCGGTAGATGGCCGAGCAAGTTTAATTTACCTCCAACTCCAGCTCTGTCACTGCCGGTGATTGGACATCTCCTCCTCCTCAAACCACCGCTCCACCGCACATTACATTCTTTTTCTCAGTCTCTCGGTGGTGCTCCAATTTTCCAACTCCGCCTTGACAATCGTGTTGCATTTGTCGTCTCAACCCTCTCCCTCGCTGAAGAATGTTTTACCAAAAACGACATCGTTTTAGCCGATCGACCAAAATTCACTTTTGGGAGACTCGTTGAGTACAATTACACCACTATGGCCACTACATCTTATGGTGACCATTGGAGGAATTTGCGCCGTATTGGTGCCATCGAGATCTTCTCGTCTCATAGACTCGATAGCTTTTTATCCGTCCGTAAGGATGAGATCCGACACTTGATATCATGTCTCTCCAAAAATTCCTTACATGTAAGTGAAATACATATCTACACAACCAAAATAATGCATATAGCCACAAATTAATTACGGATTTTATGTGACTATTTTTTAAAATCAGGGGAAAGTCAAGAAAAAGCCATTTTAGTAAATATTACATCAATAATAAATTTGAACCTAATTTGATGTACGTATATATTTGTCATTTCAAGATTTATAGTTGTCTGCTCAAAACCGTTTTGCAATTTAGTACATATAGATTAGATTCAAATTTATTATTGATGTGATATTAATAATACGCTTCTTCGAAATTATTGTGTTTTTATTATTATCTCAAACCGAAACTCATTTTATGATTTGACAACTGATTTCTAACACAGTTTCAAGATTCATGGATTTCCAATAGAAAAAACTGTCGATTAGACTTGTCTACGCTATTTATATATTAGAGTATATATTTTTTAATCAATATGTGAGTATATCTTATATTTATTGATGCGGTAATGTTAACAGATTTCTATGCCTAACCATATGTTCATGTCATAATAATTTTAGGGGTTTGCAAAGGTGGAGCTGAGATCATTGTTTGGGAACTTTAATATCAATAACAACCTGAGGATGATAGCCGGAAAACGATTCTTCGGAGACGGAGCAGAGCAAGACGACGATGCAAAACGCGTGAGGCAGTTGCTTGACGAAGCTGTATCTAGTGCTGGTGTCGGACACGCTTCTGACTATGTTCCGCTCCTCCGTTGGTTTACTAATTATGAGAAAGGGGTCAAGAAGTTGGCGGTTCGGGTCGATGAGTTTCTTCAAGGACTAGTTGATGAGAAACGTGCACAAAAAGAAAAGAGTAACACTATGATCGATCACTTGCTTTCTCTCCAAGAAACTCAACCTGATTACTATACGGACGTCACCGTCAAAGGACTCATAGTTGTAAGTATTGAGGAACCTAATTAATACATAATTAACAACACTAATTAATTAAGGATTATATCATGGCTAATTCTTGCCTTTTATTTGGATAGGTTATGATATTCGCGGGAAATGTAACATTAACAAGGACGTTAGAATGGGCGATGCTATATCTGTTGAACCATCCAGAAGTACTAAAGAAAGCGAGGATCGAAATCGATACAAACATTGGTTTAGACAGGTTAATAGATGAACAGGATGCTAAAAATCTTCCTTACCTCCAATGCATCATATCAGAGATTTTTCGACTTTACCCGGCAGCTCCTTTACTTGCTCCACATAGGGCAACAGATGATTGTATAGTTGGAGGCTACGACTTCCCTCGTGGCACAACGTTAATCGCGAACGTATGGGCCATTCACCGAGACCCAAACATATGGGAAGAGCCAGAAAAGTTCAAGCCAGAGCGGTTCGAGAAAAAAAGGAGAAGAACAAAAGTTGATGCCATTTGGGATGGGACGACGAGCTTGTCCCGGGTCTGGTCTAGCTCAACGGGTCGTGAGTTTAGCTCTCGGATCGATGATTCAATGTTTTGAATGGGAGAGAGTTGGAGAAGAATATATTGACCTAAGCGAAGCAACAACAATGCGTCCAGCGACACGGTTGCTGGCCATGTGTAGAGCTCGTCCTATTGTTCATAAGATTCTCAATGCTTCTTTTTGAGATGTCACTCCCTTTTTAAAACTATGTATATCCATTTATGTTATATCCATTTTGAGATGTAATTAAAATGAAAGACAAAGACTAGTTTTTGATTTGCCTTAAGATTTTCCATTTTATTAAAATTCAAAAACTATTTTTTTTTTCAACAACCAAAATTTAGAAGTTAAAGGCTACTCCATTATCAAATAAACTCACTTCTAAAATTTTAAAATTATGAATGAGGAGTAGTTTTTTACTTTGAGAAAGTGTGAAGAAATTTGTCCAATTTGTCCAATTTCTTTAGTTTTTGTTTTTTTTTTTGGAAAAAGGGTTAAGAAAAAGGAGCTTATGGAATCTCTCATGCAATTATTCCCACCTGTCACTAGAGATATGTTCGTAACTTCGTAACGTCTCATGCAATTACTGACTAATAAACATGTGTGATAAGTCACCATTAATATTTATTGTCTATTTCTTTTGCTTTTAATTATTAGGGTTTTAATTTGAGTAGAGAAATTTGTTTCTTTCTAATATAATAGACAACTTGGTGTTTAGTCCGCGACTTACGCGGACCGAAAAGTTTTATTGAAATCTAAAATAAAATTTTATGTCATAAATCAAAAATAATTAGATCAAGAATTTGATACATACAAAAGTAAAATAAAGCTAACCTAAAAAAGTAATCATTGTCTAACATTAAAACTTTAAAATCAGTACTAATAAGTGTATGAAATCAATAAACACAAACTAAAATAAAATTAATATGAATTATTCATCTTTTTCTCTTTTTATTTTTTTAATTTTTTTTCTTTACCATTTTCTTTTTTTTTCTTTTTTTTGTTTTTTTTGTTTTTTTTCTTCTTCACTTTCTATGTCTTTTTTTTTACTTTATATTCTGCTGATTTTTCTTTTTCACGTTTTCTTCTTCTTCTCCACATCTTTTCCTTTTTCCTCTCATACATCTTTTGATTTTCTTCTCTTCCAGGTTTTATTTCTTTTCTTCTTCTTCTTCAATGTTTTATTATTCTCTTTCTTCTTCTTTTTTCTTTTCCTTTTTCATTGCCATCGTCTTCTTCGTTATCATCAACTTTCTATTCTTCTAGTGTTTTTCGGCTTTTAACTCATCTTCATATTCTTCTACTTTCTCCAATTCCTCATCTTTTAAGGTTTTCATCTAATTTTTTCTCTTCCCTATCTTCTTCTTCTACTACTTTGTCTTCTATTTTATTTTTTTTTCTCCTTCATCAGACTCTTATTCCTCTTCTTCCAATTATTCTTCCTCTCTCTAAATTCTTCATCATATTTTAAAGATCTTTGTCTTATCTGTCTTTTTACTTCTCTCATGGTTTATATTTTCTCTTTTTTAGTTTTTTCCTTATATTTTTAGGTCTTTTTTATCGTTATTTGTTTTCAAATTGTTTTCCAAGTTTTAAATTTTCGTTATTTCCTATTTTAAATATTTTTGATTAAATTTCGATTTTTAATAATTATTATTAAATTTAAATGTTTTTTGATTAAATTTCGATTTTTAACAGTTTTTTTATTAATTTACGATTTTTAATATTTTTATTTAATTACGATTTTTAATATTTTTATTTAATTACGATTTTTAATTTTTTAAAAATTAATTTACAATTTTAATAATTTTGTTATTAAAATTAATTTAAAAATATAAGAAAGAGTAAAAGGTAATTAGCCATCCTAAAATTGAATGAGAGAACTTTAACTCAAAATTTTAATTTGCTTATATGATATATGATATATGATGATGATATATATTACTAGCGTTTACGTTTTTTATTTTGGTTCAAAACATAGTGGTTAAAAATAAACAAATCATAAAGTTTTATTATTAGTCATTAATGAATGAGAGACGTTACGAACATATCTTTAGTTTATTAAAAAAAAAAGATATCTTTAGTGACAGGTGTGATAATTGCATGAGAGTTTTCATTATAAACTAAGCTACCTAAAACTAATAACTCCCACGTTCGATTCAACACATTTACAACAAGAAGAAGTTCTTAATCTAAAATGGAAACTTATTTTCTTATTTTATCCCTCGCCATCTTCTTTTTCATTTCTCTTAAACTTTTGTTTGATAAACCGCATAACAAGTTTAACCTACCACCAAGTCCGGCGAGGCCACTACCGTTGATTGGACACCTTCACCTCTTGAAGCAGCCTCTCCACCGCACATTCCTATCCTTCTCTCAATCTCTCGACAGTGCTCCAATTTTCTCCCTCCGCCTCGGAAACC